GTAAACTGCCGAGCACCTTGTTGTGCTTGGGAAGGTCGGTTACCCTGTTGGTTTCCGCCTCCGCCGCGGTTAAAGTTACTGCGGCCGCGATTTCCGCCGCCACGTCCTTTTCCGCGACCGTAGCCTCCGCCGCCGAATCCTTGTGTCGGACTCTGACCGTATGCGGAGTATCCCTGGTTTGGGTTTTGGTTGTATCCAGAACTTCCGTTGTTCTGGTTACTTCCAGAGCCAGGACTTTGGCCTCCGTAGTTGTTTACTGGGGCTCCGGCTGCTGGTTGGGGTGCTGCCAAGTTGACAGCTGCCACTCCTGCCCAGGTCGGTTGCTGGACCGGCATCATTTGCGCTGGTGGCGTTACCGGTGTGGTCGGTTGCACGTATGTTGCCGAGGGACTTTGATATCCCGGCATCATGTACGGCTGGTACACTGTTTGTACTGGTGCCTGCGGTAAAGGAGCTGGTGTCGGCGTTGTTGCTCGGACCCGGGCATAGTCTGTATCCCGTGATCCCTTCACCACGTCGTACATCTCCTTTCCGTTCACGAATTGACGTATGTAGTCACGCAGTTCTACCGGAGTCGCCGGCATACGAATCTCCAAGGCTTCTCGTAGCTTGGGTTCGTGAATGTTATCCTTCAGATGGAAAAGTGCCATCTGGTCCGTGATGGTGTCACATCGGGACTTGATGTTCATCATGGCGTCATAGTACTGTTCCGGCGTCTCTTGTCCGAAACGGTACTTTCGTTTGGCCATGGCGGTTACGGCGTTAATTTCCTTGTTTTTGTCGCCGAACCGTTCTTCGAACTTAGCCAACCAAAGGTTGACTGGCCATCCTCCGGCTGGTTCACTGCCGGCGGTGTCCCTATGCCATTGTGCGGCCTGGCCTTCGAGTCGTGAGATGAGGTCTGTCATGAACGTGTGGTCCGATTCATGCCATTCTTGTGCTTCCGCGTAGAATCGACGGATTTGTTTCAACCATCCCTCGAGTTTGTTATGGTCGCCGTCGTATTCCGGCAATTTCTGCTTACGTCCGCGGGCACACACGCGGATCATCGTTTCCTGGAATGCCCGGTTAGCCGCTTGTTGGGCGTCCATGGCAGGCGGTGGGGGAGGGTTTGCTTCCCAACCTTGTTCCGCGTATCCCCGACCCTGTTGGTCTGGGTAATGCTGATGCTGTTGATCCGGGTATCCATAATTCTGTTGTTGTGGATATCCTCGACCTTGTTGGTCTGGGTATCCAGCCGGGTACGGTTCCGGCTGAGGAGCTGGTGCTCGTGGTGGCCGTTGTGGCTGTTGGTAGAATCCCGGTGGAAGGTCGTTCACCCTTCCATACTGACTTCTGAACGGCCTTCTCGGTGGTGCCCGACCTTCTGTTGGTCGGAACCGAGGCACGTTCTGCGAGTCTTGTGGGTAGTCGGCGGGGGGGCGTTCCGGATTCGGTTGTCCGCTTCGTCCTCCTGGAGGTAGGTCGTTATTATATGACCTAGCACGTTCACGGCGATAGTCCGAGTCGCTTATCGTCAAGCGGCCGAAGTCGTCCATGTTGGGATGTGAGCTTGTTCGCTCTCCCAGTCGCCGTCCTGCGCCCCATTGATTAGGCGCTGGTCCGTTCGGGTGGGACGTGGTGGGCGCTGGGGCATGCATCGACGTGTGTGTTGCATACGTGGTACTAGTGTAGGTACCTGACGTGGCCGTTGTCGTTGTCGGCACGTTTGACGTTGGCACATGTGGTGCCGCTGTCGACGTATTCCGTTCCGGTTCTGGACGGTGGGGCAGAGGCTGTTGCTGCGGAGGAGTTCCGATGAGCGGGTTAGTTGTCACCACGCCCACGAAGAAGTTCTGTTCCTTCTTCTCCTCTTTGGGTTTAATGTCCCACAGGATATCTCGGACTGTTTGCGACGGTTCAAAGTGGAAATCCGCTGCCATCGAAGTCCTGTAGGATGGAGGCTCCGTCCTGGATTGTTCCAGGTGTTTCGTTTCCTCCTGTAGACAGCGTACCTCCGTATCCAAGTCGTCGGTATACGTGGTCATCTCGTCGATATATCGATTTAAGTCATCGATATATTTATCCGCATCCAGACCATAGTTGTACAGGTCGTTTTCGCGGATTTCCAAGTGTGTGATGCGGTTCTGTTGCGCTTCATACACTTTCTGGGCTTCCGCCAAGCTGTGTTCCAGCTGTGCTCGGAGTCTTTGTTCTTCCTTCAGCACATCATTTAGTCCGTAGACCTGGTCGGCCAATTGGGCGTTCGCTTGTTCCAGGTCGGTGATGGCTCTACTTCGGTCGGGTGAGGCAGGTTGCTGGCTATAGTGAGCCATTAACTGTCGTCCTGCCCTGGCCAAGAGAGTTTCCATCTCCGTGTCGAGTTGTTCGATACGGTGTCTTTGCCGGTCGACCTCGTCGTCGGCCTGCTTGAGTTCGACAATGTATCTGTCGACCTCGTTCCGGTACACTTCAGCCTCTTCGTTGGCTTGATTAAGCTGTTGGTGGAATGTCCCTGCTGCCAGTTCCGATTCGACCAAGGCTGTTTGTGTGTCAGCCAGGTCTTTTTCTGCGGTGGCGAGCCGTCTTTTCAGTTCGAAGACTGATTCCATCGACGTCGCAAGTGTACTTCTGAGTCGCTCGACCTCTTCAGGGTCGTACCGACATGGGTTGTCGGACCTCTTGAGGTGACTTTCCAGATGTTCTATCCGGCGCTGTTGAGCGGCTATGCCATTGTTGGCTTCAGCGAGTTCTTTTTCCCATCGCTTCCGTTCGAGCTTATGAGTGTCCTCCGATCGCGACATCTGGTTTTCCGTGGAGTTAACGATTTGGTCGGCCAGGACGATTTGTGTTATCAAATCCTGGCATCGTTTCCTGAGTCGGTCGATGTCTTCGATCTTTTCTGGAGGTGTGGATGCAATCCACTTCCGTGCCGTGTACTCGAGCGTGCTTGCTTGGTACCTATGGTTACCCAAGTAGGGTGCCACCGGCGTTCGGAAGAATCCATCCTTGCTACTGGGACGTGACATTACTGTTGTGTCAAAAACGTCGTCCATGGGTGGTGGCGTTTCGCTACCCGAGTCGCCAAGTTCGAACATTGGTGGCGACTGCTTCTTCAGTAGGTCGACAGGTCGACTTGTTGACGACTTGTCCGACTTCACCTTCGGTTGAGCTTCTGTTACTCGGGTCGACCTGCCTTCTGTTGGCGAAGGTCGACTCAGCGGTGAGATAGCCTTTTCGTTAGGCATCGGTATGTTGGTTGGTGATCCAGCCGGGTGAGGTCCGCTTCGTGGCGGGGCCTCAGTTTCTCCCGTTTTGGCCGGTAGTTTAGGCCACTGGATGTCCGTATCCGACCTTGTATCGACTGGCTTCTTTTCCAGGGAGGTCGGTTGTACTTGACCGACTTGCTGTTGTCCGACCTTTAAGGTCGGTGGAAGTTGCCCGACCTCAGTTCCGACTTGTGTTGTCGAACGAGGTCCGACCTCCATGGTCTGCCTTTGTTGACCGACCTTGGTCGGTGGAAGTAGTCCGACCTCAGTTCCGACTTGTGTTGTCGGGTGAGGTCCGACCTCAGTAGGCGGCTTCTGTTGACCAACCTCCTTGGTCGGTGGACTTCCATCCTTCTTGGTCGGCGAAATCCTCCCGACTTCTGTTGTCGGTTGGACTTGGCCAACTTCCTTGGTTGGTGATTGCTGTAGTCTTCCGACCTCAATTGCGACTTGTGTTGTCAGATGAGGTCCGACCTCCGGTTGAGGATAACCGACCTCCGAGGTCGGTTTCCGTTGACCGTCCTTAGAGGTTGGTGAAGCCCTACCGACTTCTGTGGTCGGTTGGACTTGACCGATTTCCGTTATCGGTTGCTTCTCTCCGACCTTCGAGGTCGGTGAAGTCGCTCTGCCCGAGTTGGGCGATGTCGACCTCTTCACGTCGTCCGTCTGGTTGGGTGATGTGTATCCGGCGTCGGTGACTTTCGTAGTCGTTACCGGCTCCTGAGCTTTCTGTGAGCTCAGTTGAAGTCCTTCTGTTAAGTCCGTAGAGGTCGGTACACCATGTGGGTGTTCCGCCTCGGCATGAGACAATGTGGTCTCAGCCTGCAGCTTCTCCGGTTCCCCCCCGGTCGGGTGGGACGGGGCTGCTAAGTCAGCTTTGGGCTCGAGGAACGTCTTATCGTGGGCGTCCTCGAAGCTGTCATCAGATGTCGGGTTGGAATCGGCGAGGAGGATCCGCTCGTTACGCTTCTCCCGTGCCTCGACCGATTTCGTCGAATCCGTTGATGACGGCTGACTTCCATCCCGACCAGCATGCCGCAGTGAGTACGGTGCGTTTGAGGTCAGGCGCCGCGAATAGTCCGTGTTGAACTCTCGGGCGTATTCATTCTTCTTCGGGTTCGACATTGTTGTCGGGTCAGGTCGGTTCAAGTGGAACCAACGAGAGACTTGTACTGTTGTACAGTAAATTGAACTATCCCTTATGTGGGGATGTTCAATTGAATCAGGAACGTCTTTCGGTTCAGGAACTTCCGTGGGTCAGGATGGTCCGACTTGATGTTATTGTTGTTGTGTTGGTGTGTCTGTGTGTGACTCAGTACACAACGTTACAATACAGTACTATGGTACAGTACAGTATGATAAGGTACTACAGTAGAGTACGTCCTATACTACTGTGCTGACCAGTATGACGTCACAGGGCTAAGTGGTCTTGCACTTCACTGCCTACGTCACAGAATGCGAGCCGCGTGCAAAATTTTAAAAAAACGATGATTCACGCCTATGTTAAGCTTATGGAAGTTTCCCTGCACGCTGATTGGCTAGCCTCAAAGTACTGAAAATCGAGCGTTCTGACGTCACAAGGAAATTCAAGAATTTTCGCGCTTATTTTCGCGGAAAAACAAAATTATTTTTAGGTCGATCAGAGATGTTTTCTGGTCGAAATTTTAAGTTTTTAAGCCGTTAGAAATAATTTCTAGATTCTCAGAAATTTTTCTGACGGTGGAAAATCCGTCAAAATGAAAAGGAAAGTGAATGACCGACCTCTGGTCAGTTACACAGAGTGGTCCGTTAGGTCGGTAAAGTAACTTTTTAGGTCGGTTTCTCCGACGAAAATTAAGTTTTTACCATCGAAAAATTATTTCTAGTTCTCAGAAATAAATTTCAGCCGTTAAGAATTAAGAATTATAGCTAGTTTCGACCTGTGTCGACCTGTAACCAGGACTTTACCGGTTCGTTACGGTGTCCGTGGAGGTCGGTGATCCGCCGTTGGGAGGTCGATTTCCGTTAGAGTTGCGGGTCGCCGTTCAAGGCGAAGGTCCCCGATTGTTGAGAGGCTCCTTCTGGGCGCTGCAGGCTACTGTCCGAGCCTGATCCGTCAGTTGGGATTGGGGAAGTTCCCGTTCGTCCGTCTGGGGCAGTCAGCCGAAGTGCTCTCCTTGTGTGGAAGAGCCAAAAGATAGGGCAAGCGAAGGTGGCAGGGATCGCTTTTGCGATCAACCTGTTGCTACCACAGTCGCTAGACAGCAAAGACCAGGTTGTAGCAGAGGCTGCGTTCGCAGTCAATCTGTTTCCAACCACGGGTTCTTCAAGGTTCTCCGCGAAATTATGCCTTTACCGTCTCCTCAAAGGATCCGGTGGACAGAAAACCAGACGATCTGCTTACCATGTGACAGGCAAGCACAGAGAGCTCACAGATGACTTTATTGTACTAATAAAGTGGAGCAAATGCCGCGTGATTGCGGGGAAAAACACAACAAAGCCAATGTCTGGCAGAAAAGTGAGCAGTCAAGTTGCTGCGAGCTAGTTCTAGAGCGTAATGAAATGTAGAGAAAGAAATGTGCTGGCGGCAACGGCGTCACGCTGTCCAGACACATGGAATGTGAGTGCGCAGACTGGACTCGTATCCAACGCGAGCGAATATACGCTGAGTCATACAGCGAGAGAGAGGAGCGAGAGAGCAAGTATGCTCAGTGAGTGCGCCCGCGGTGTATCCGCATAGGCGGAGAGTGCAGTGCAGCCACTCACGTACGTACAAGAGAGGGCGAATCAGCATGTGTGCAGTGATACGCATACGCAAAGTGGCGTATCTATCACGCAGGCTGTCGTGCCTCTAACAACCTTGCTTAGAGTACAATAATTTAAAAAGGATAATTCATCCATGATGTTTTGTAGGGAATAACGATGGTTTCACGGAACCGGAAATGACCAAAGCGCTGGAGACATTGCTGTTAGTGTGCCAGACTGCCAAAGCATCGTGCATTTTCCTGCGTCAGCGCAAAAGCGACAACGGTATTATAAACACCTACCTAATAAGGAGACAAGCGGACGAGGAGGATTTTCTGGAAGTTCGGTACGACGGCTCACGGAAAATCTAACATGTCGGTTTACTGACCCGTGTCTGTTCGACGTATTCAATAGAATTGCGGTGCTCGGTAATGTGGATGCTGGTAAATCCACTTTGCTCGGTGTCTTGACGCATGGCGAGCTGGATAACGGTCGTGGTTTGGCCCGGATGAAGTTGTTCCGCCATAAGCACGAGCAGGAATCGGGGCGTACCAGCAGCGTGGGACACGACATTCTGGGTTTCGATGCCGACGGAAGTGCGTATTATAAGCAGTCGATTAATTACGGTTGCTGGCTGGATTTTTATGGAATGTTTTAAAAAATTTATTGGGAATTGCAGAGGTAGTTAACCGAGCCTTCGCACACGGCAATGATCTCGATTGGGAGGGAATCTGCAAGCAAAGTTCCAAGGTTGGTTCGTGAAATTTGGTTTTCGGAGAATATAACGCTTATTGTGATTGTTGCGGTTTGGGTAGGTTATTACCTTTATCGATCTGGCCGGACACGAAAAGTACCTTAAAACCACGATATTTGGAATGACCGGGCATCTACCGGATTTCTGCATGCTTGTGGTAAGTTCCGCTGTGGAACGCCTTTATCTGGATTATCACCTGCTTGATTTGAATTCAAAAATTTAAACAATAAACTATGTTAGGTTGGTGCGAACGCTGGAGTTGTGGGAATGGTCAAGGAACATCTAGGTTCGTAAACTGCAACATTCACGTTTATGTATTTAATCCTGGATTTCTTTTAATCGCGGTTTTATCAGAAATATACTGAATCATTGACTGTCGGTTTTTGTCTTGATTTATTGTACTGATATCGGTCATTATTATTATTGATATCCTTACTGATATTGGAAATTGTTTGCTTAGGACTAACCTTAGCTCTAGCCGTGCCAGTTTTCGTGGTGGTTACCAAAATCGATATGTGCCCCGCTAACGTCCTCCAGGATACTCTGAAGCTGCTGCAGAAGCTGATGAAATCTCCCGGCTGTCGTAAAATTCCCATCATGGTGGCCAATGAGGACGATGTTGTCACCTCGGCCAGCAACTTCACATCGTCCCGTGTCTGTCCGATCTTCCAGCTGTCATCTGTGACCGGTGCCAATATGGAATTACTACATAAATTTCTCAATTTGCTAACCTCGCGGCATGAAATGCACGAAGCGGAGCCGGCAGAGTTTCAGATTGATGAAACCTACTCGGTGCCGGGCGTGGGCACGGTAGTGTCAGGGACGGTGCTGCGCGGTGTGATTCGACTGAATGATACGCTCATGCTAGGACCGGATGCCTTGGGACATTTTCAGGCCATTGCGGTGAAGTCGATCCACAGAAAACGAATGCCGGTGTCGGTGGTTCGGGGTGGACAGGCTGCATCATTTGCTCTTAAAAAGGTATGTTGCAAACTTACAATACATCAATGCCTTCATAATGATCTTAATGGATACCTTTTAATAGGCGGTAGTTGTCGAGATAACAAAAGTGCAAGCGCGGTGGCACTACTTCATAATGTAAAAAGAATTAAACTTTGATACGACAATCGGCGAACGAAGTTATTGACCGAAAAATTGTTTTTTAGTTTGTTTTCTTGTACGCAGTTTAGTGTCTTACGAGTTGTTTGAATTTGTTTCTATTCGGTCATCATTGTGGTTTGAAATCAGGCGTCGTGAACGTGTCGTATGTTGCTTCTCCATTAAGGCGCCCTTTTATTTTGAAATAGATCAAGAGGTCACATTTGCGAAAAGGAATGGTGATGGTAGCACCGGCTATGGATCCCAAAGCTTGCTGGGAGTTTGAAACCGAAATGTTGATTCTGCATCATCCTTCTACGTTGCAAAGCGGCTACCAGGCCATGGGTATGGTACTATGGTGTTGAACCTTAACACCCGTGGCGCAGAGTCAAATCGGATTTTTTTGCAGTGCACACGGGAAGTTGCAGGCAGACCATCAAGATCCTGAGTATGTCACAGGACTGCCTGCGCACGGGCGACAAAGCGTTGGTGCGCTGCCGGTTCATCAAACTACCCGAGTTCCTCCGTCCTGGACAGCGCATGATCTTGCGTGAAGGACGCACGAAAGCGGTGGGAAATATTACTCAGGTGTTTCTGGATGCACCCGCCGGAAACTTCGACCTGCATCCCTATCAGCATCCACGACCGGCTGCCCCAGCCGGTGCCGGCGGGAAACCTGCCGGACAGGCAGCGGGAAGTGGTGCGAAGAAGACGACGGGTGCCAGTGCCAGTGGGGCTGGCCGTGGTGGACATAACCGGTAATTGAGAGAGACTGGTTGAACTGTTAGTTTCTGAGAGAGTACGAAGTGGAATTAATTAACTTGTGCGATTTTTTGTATATTCAGGATTTCTTAAGTCTGATTGGGATTAGTCTTGGAGGTTTTAGCTTTTACTTTTTGTCTCGTAGATTTCTTGTTTTTCTTTGTGTTTGTGAAATGTCTTAGCTTCCGTTGGTTTTATGAATGAGATTTCTATTAAAATACAGTTTTGTCGTTGAACTGAAATGCTTTATTACTACTGACTACTGACCTTAAGCTTAAGTGAATGCTCACGTCGAATAAGAATACCGTATATGATCATTGGTCGTAAAAAGAGAGTTTGTTTAGGATATTTTAATACAGCTGGAAGCCGAAATTCAGGTGAACAAAATCTTGCTCCTGCAGAGCTATTGGCAGTTATAATTATCACAGTTTGCAGCTGCTCCATTTTGAGATCCTTTTCTAATTTGGTGGACCGAAAAAATTAAACTTTATCATTCAAAACTGAGCTGTAAATGCGTTTCCCGTAAAAAAGTTGCGAACGGTGTCAATAAATTACTGCATTCCTATTTGGCTATCTATCCTTCTCGTTGTGCATCAATAAGAGATTCCGGGATTAGGTTCACTCATTTCTACAGTGAGGATGGTGGATACTTTGCTTTTGCCGAGGAATTGCTCGCATTTTGTATGGGTGCGGCGTTAGTGCTGAAATCGAAAACCATTGAAGCGCTAAAATTTTTTTGCTAGACATACTCGTAAGTGGTACTTTGTATATTGACTGCGAATGGGATTCGGAAAATAATTTCTTTATAAATTTCCGATTGCTGAGTTGCTCGTACCTTCGCCATCAATAGGTTCCAAAGACGGTATGATATTTTCACCCTCTGCCGCGATAACGAAATGCTGTAAGATCGAAGCGAAAAAGATGAAAATTTCGTGACGGGCGAAGCCTTCTCCGGGACAAGCTCGTTTTCCTATAAGAAAAAAAGGCATCTAAAATGTTTAATCTGCTTGATATTTTCCATCGAAAAGACGACAATTTCCCGGATGACTCTTACGGTTGTTAAAACAGAATCCACAAATATTAATTCCGATACTGCATATAGATATACTATGTAGGACATTTTAATATATTCCAAAAAATTGATAAGTATCTGTAGTGGATGCGTACCGGTATATAGAAATCTTTATGGTAGAGAATTGTTACTACACAATAATTGCAATTTTACCAGTAGGTTACTTACCAACTGAAAATGGCATTATATTCTCGGTTTTCAAATGGTCGACCTTTCCATTGTTGGTCAGTAGTCTTTCGGGTTGGAATTTTTCGGGATTCGACCACAACTTGGGGTCTTTCATGCAGTACCAGGCAAAACCAAACACAGTAGTATCTAAGACGGAAAATGTTGTTAGTTAAAAAAGTTTGTGTTGGCAATATTGCCTTGAGATAACAAATTTTTAAAAGTATAGAACTTTATTGTACCTTTAGGAATTATGTAACCCTCAAATTCAACTTTTTCTGTGGTTTTGTGAGGCATCAGAAATGGTCCAAAGTTAGCACAGCGGAATATTTCTTGCATTGTGGCATCCGTATAAGGAAGACTTATTTTATCCGCAAAGGTGATAGCTTTTTCCCCGATGACCTCGTCAATTTCCCGTTGGATTTGCTGTTGTACCTCGGGGTAGCATATCATGTACAGCATCGCCCATTGCAGAAATATCGTTGTTGACTGAAAGCCAGCTGAAACAAGCGCTTAATGAAGATACTGTAGTTGCAGATCGCTACTACTCCTCCTCTTATCCAATACAATTCATGAACTTACCGGCATACAAATCATATACATTGCGCACAAGTTGTTCCCCTGCAAAATGAAAACATTTGTGGTTATCAAAATTGTTTTATCAATTAACGACTATAGCGGTGTTTAAAACCGTGTTTTTATACAAGACTGACCACTAAAGCAGCCGCTATCGTCAGCAATTTGCACGCGCAGGAAAGCATCGATATAATCTCGGGGATGTTGTGCATCGAATGTTTTCTTATGCTGTTCCAGCAGCTCCTCCACAATACCGAATATCTTGACAAAACGGGATTTCGTCTCGTTGAAGCCGGCTCGAAAGGGTGGTACAAAGCGCAACCAGGGATAAAAATCCAGTGTCGATGCGTTGGCCAGCTCTTGGAAATTCACAGCAATAATATCGGCACATTCTTTAAAGCGCGGATCTTCGCTGTGAAAATCGGTGCTGAATAGCAGATATGATATGATGTTCCCAACTGTAACAACAAACAAAACTATTGATAACATTAAAGGCATTAAGAATATTAACACATTGGATTTTGATACCTTCTGAAACATTTTCTCCGTCTTGAATTCAAAATTTTCTTGCCGTGCTACTCTAGCACATGCAGGTATTGTACGGATTATACTTACATGCCTTTGCAAAAAACATGCTGTTATCCAGCGGTTCTCCTTCATAATTTGCAAGTGTCTGTAGGGAGTTGCCAATTTCGATTTCGATGTATTCTTCAACTATGCGTTTTCCAAAACCTAGGGAAGCACTCAACAAATAAGTACGAGTATTATTTACATTACAGGGCTCCAAGCTGATTTTCGTTTACGAATAAATGATAAAATAAATATTTGTGCATCTATATAGCATCGTATATGTAAGTATGCAAAGGACAGCATTATTACTTTCAACTGGCATGGACAGAATTTTCAATTGGCATGCTTCGGCTAATAAATATAGTGTCGTTCTTATGAAACTTACCAAATTCACGCAGTGCTTGTATGGAAAAGTGCCGCTGTTCTTTCCAAATGTTACCCTCAGACAAAACCGGGCCTGCAAAAATACAGTTTCACTCTTTATTTAATGTACATGTTGTCACCCGGATTTGCTTTTCCGGTATGCATATGCGCGCCCGGTATTATAACGCTAAGCTTAAAACCAGTGGTTCTTTAGCAAAAAACCGAGTTCGGAGTATATTTAGTGTTTCTGTCCCTCTTATGTAGTGGAAACATAAAACTGTAATATTATGACGTCAAACTTCCCACGCATAAATAATTTCATAAGTTTTACTTACCATTTTCCACTTTGAGGCCTAAGTAGTGATCGGTAACTTTAGGTCGTCCGGCAAAACGTATATCGCGAAATGCTTTTCGTAGCAGATTTGCATCAGCTATAACAATTGTCAGATCCGATCCTAAATAACAACTATACAATCCACCGTAGCGCTTAGCGAATTCTTCGAAGGTTTTGAATGGTTGTGCCCGATCGATACCTGCCCACAGAGTAAGTGAAATTTTATCTGTAAAACGTTTATTTACAGTTTTATGTCGCTTTATTTACAGCTTTATGTCGCTTAAGGATTTCACAAGTGAAGTTACATTACTTACCAACGGTACCGACAAGTGGCAGCGGAAACGGTCCGTTAGGGAGTCTTCCAAAATATCGTTGCACCAGAATGCAGACATATTGCCAAGTTAAAATAAGAAAAAATACTAAAATGCATAAAGATGAGCACGTGATGATCCATTTAAATAAACTCCAGTGAAAAAAACCCCATCCAGTCCATATAAGCCGGTTTGTGCCAGACTCCAACAATGACCTTATATCGTTGTGCATATGGGTTATGCTCGTATTAGATCTGACAGTTGCGGGAACAGCGGTCGCACAAATGGCACCACATTGCAGTATATAAGCAGGAAATGTTATGTTATTAAATAATAGTAAAGACATAGGAGAGGATAGCAGATTTGTCGTAATTTCGTTTCCTAATAAACCGAAAAATTGGCATGTTTAACAATAAAAAAACGGAATGCCGATCTTTTGTACCAGTACTAGTAATAACGATTTACTCGCCAAAACCATAAGCAACGTACTATGGCGCTTATACACTGTTACCTCGATGCACGGGCTCCGGTCGACAAAACTAGAATCTTTGGTTTCGCGAAAAGCAATCAGGATCCCGATTCTACGGTACGCACTTTTTTAACGTCGCTTAGGCAGCTTTTAAACGTTGAATGGCGCTGCCGGGTACATAAACAATGCACTGGTGAGATGTCGCAGCTACACATAGTTTCAGTATACTTATGGAGCCGTTTTTGACATACAAAAAGACGTCTCCAACTATGGCGCTTGAACGTGCTAAACGTGTCCAGAAGCGTACCAAAAACTCGGAGAAACAACGTTCGCCATTCATTTCTTTAATTACGATATCGTACCCGGATTCCATCAGTAAAAAGCAAACAAAAATTAACAAATTTAATACCACTTTAAAAAATACATCAAACACGAAGAAAAATGAAACAAAAAGCCATACTCTGGGGTACCATCTAAAATCACAAATTTATTGATTTTCTAGTCACTGGGCGCGCTGGTAATAAAATTCAAAAACACGTTTTACAAACCAAACAAGAAACGTCTGACAATATTGTCGAAAATCTAATCCTTAAATTGGTAATCTGGCACCTTCGAAGGCTTTCTTCCACGCATTCATCGTACGATACAGCCGATTACCGCTTGCCACCTTGTATCTGAGCCCATCCAAATGCACTGCATAAGAAAATCAGGCAGATATTAAAAAATCTAACAGTTTTTGCTATATAGCAGATACACAGAAACTCACTCTTTAGTGCTCCGATGCAATCCAGTTGCACAATTTGCATCATTCCTGTTGGTTGATGTTGCTGATTACTGCCGACCGCCCGCAGTTTCTTCTGCTCTTCAGTCAACGATATCGTTATCTGCTAAAAAAACAATCAAAATTTAAATGCTCCTTCATTTCCTTCTTACCTATCGTTTCAAAACTGCTGTAGATTTTCAGTAATTTCTGGAATACTTAATCAACTGGCTATATAGCCGAAGTGCATTTTAACCATTTACCAAGCTGTTTCAGAACTAGCGATCAAGGCATCGAGCTCTAAATAAGGAATGCGTGCAAATAATATGTGAGTTTTAATCAGCAATATTGCCTTTATTTTTTCAAAGGCTAATATGACTTTTTATAGTAAACAAGCTCTAAAACTAATTTTTAATTCTTATTCGTAAACTTACTTTTGAGCAACTCTGCATCATCTGTGGTAGCGACGATATCGTCAAGAATCGGATTCACGTGTTGCGGACTTCGCAGGGCACTAGAGAGTGCGGCCATTTGTCGTAAAATGCAACTTTCTTATCGTTTTTCTTGGCATCTGCTTTACGCTTTCATACGGATACCGCCTAATAAATAAGAATGCAAAATTAATATAATGCAATTAGCAAAAACAGCTAGCTCAGTTAGATCATGCGATATCGCAGATTTCCCTGTAATACAAAGCCTACAATCTATAACAACTACAGGAAGCGCAACAGAAGAAATTAATTTTATTCGTTTACCTTCTGCATGGCAGGCTGGATTAGGGAAACTTCTTCGTCTTTTTCATCTTCGAGGCTGGCCGGATACAGACGATTATCGTCAAGCTGCGCGTTGAAACGGGTTGCCCTGGCATGAAGAGATGGTCGTAGCGCAGATAGCGGACTAAACTAAAGTTCTCCGAACAGTTTAACGAGCGATGCCTTCGTCGATTTGCACAGGACGACAAGAGCGACAAACAGGCTTATTCAGATCGTCGTGCCGTTCCGAAGCAGTCGATCGCCATGTTTGCGATATCGCAGTTGAATTTTTCCAGAAAAGCGAAAACAAAAAAATATAATTTCTCAAAACGGGATGACAATAACAAAAACGAACTGTAGAACCAGGAGCTGAAAGACAAAAATATGGATTCACTCTGCAGCGAAGCAAACAGCCAAACACGACTGAATTTTCAGTTGCAAAAACCATGCCGGGTGCACTGACTCTGAACCAAGTACTGCCACGCTACTAACAAATACACTTGCTCTGGTTTGACTCTGCGGCTTTGGAAAGATCTTTGATTTGGCCGAAACACAGATTTCGATAGAATACAGTATTAATTAACACAAAGAATGTGTAACAAGACGATATCGTCAGTGATACTAATAATTTGAATATTTCATAATGAGGGAATGAAGGATAAAAAAAATTTGAATCAATGAAAAGTACAGAGTACGCAGCAAGATTATTTCCTGGTTTTACCCAGTGAGTGGCAGTTACTCAGCAGATTCAGCACGGGCCTGCACGGCACATGTGCAGCACCTGCTTACTACGGCCTGCGAGCGGCTCAAAAAACAAACGGTGCTAACGCCTGCATTTCGACACACATTGCACACCACTGGACATCTACTGTACGTATAGTTTTTTACCGTGTAGAATCGGGGATATGCCTTACAACATTCAATGCTAGTAGTTTTTAAAAAACAATTTTTATGACACTAAGGCAGACAGACGTATTGTCTCACGACTGAAAGCAGAAACCGTTTGAAATTATACATACGGTGAAAACGTTAACATTTTAGATAAGCCTGTTTTTTACCCAACTTTTATACTAAAACTGTTTGGCAGATATGCGTACAGTCTAGTATTACTACAGATTTTCTGCCGACAGCGGTGGATAGCTCATTGCAGTAGAATCTGTTGTGCATAATCCACCAAAAAATAACAACGTACTAAGTACGGTATTCTGCAGATGTGAATCCTGGCGTACACGTCAACCGCTCTGATTTCGGCAATTTCCACACTTACATTGCTAGCTTGCATTGTGCGAAGACTGACCATGCATTTCATAAACAGCGTTCTTTTAACGATTATTAGTGGGTACATACGATACTCTGACTAAGATTTCGCTGGAAGCAAAAGCTGTTAGGCAGCATTCGCAGTTTATGCATTATAGCCACAATTACGCCGGTCTCTACTGGTACTGATTGGGGTATAACCCATAACCGCCGCGGTTTTTACGTTTACAGAAAAAAATCCCACACGTTTATGCAGACTAATTAGGTACACTGGCGTATTACTTTCCCACGTCTGATCGTCCCGGCCGCATGATGATATTATAATAATCCTCCCAGACTTCTCGCTGTAACTTTAACTTTTTATTGTTTAGGACATAATACAAATGCTATTATGGCATTTTTCATTTTATTATTTATGTAATGGTGTGTTTTAAAGTCATTGTTTTTACTCTGTAGAGCTAAATGCAATACGTATAATTCAATTTTTAAGCAGACCTAATGTCTAGTGCCTGTTTGTGCATTAAAGTGCAACCTAATATAGATTAGATAAAGACTTAAATTAAACGCAATAACACTTACCAATAGAAACTAAGAAATTGGTAAATATTTATTAGCAAATTCGTACTTTATATAATACGCTAAAAAAATCAACGCTATCAAAGCGTGCGGCAAAACCGCTCAGCCAATATTGACGCCTCGGAGCAAAAAGCCTACAGCAGAATTTTATTGTATCAAGTGATACGTTCGGTTTAACGGCAATAATTGTATGAATGACCTACCATCGTCGGGGCTGGGAAACCGTCTGCCAGGCTTAGTGTGTTAAAAGGTTTTTCAACTATAAGCTTTTCGGATAAAACTGCAAAAATATGCATAAGCTTGAAGAATTAGATTAAAGTTTTCTTTTGTGCAAGGTTATAATAATCAACCTGATATTAATTATAAATTTATAATCATGGCAACGGGCCGGAAACAAACACCTGCTGTTTACCAAGAACAAGAAGATGGAGCGGAGAGGTGAAACAAACCTGTTTTTACTCAGTTCTTGTAGTGCAACTCATAAAGCAGTGGAAGAGGGCTTAAAAGGGTTTTTGTTTTTCTTTTTAGAAAAAGTGCACTGATTCGCTCTATAAGCATGCTGAGTGCCGAAGAACGATCTCTTCTTCCCGTGGTTGCAAATGCGCCGAACGGGGAACGGGAACTCTCCCGGCAAGAAATTACGGTTATTGTTGTGTGTTCCTGTACAACCGTGGTGGTCAATCTCGGTGTAGGCTCCATGCCGCTGCTGATTCCCATTGAGGTTAGCTAAAAATATTTTCTGAGCTCATGAGTGCTATAATAACGGTAATAATAATCTTGCAGATAGTGAAGAAAAATTACGCTTACACCTGGACTGGGGTGCTCTTTTTACTCTATGGAATCAACGTTGCGACCTGTGAGTTACTGCAGTCCAAAATAGTAAGCAATATAATTTTGATTAATTCTTATACCACCGGTTTCCGGTTAATTACTGTATTACGAGACGAAATAAGAGATTATTCGCTAAACTTATCTACCAACCCTCGTATAAATATCATGCCTAATAGACTAACATGTATCCCTGCTAAAAAGTTTTCAACCATTTCACAGGTTCCTTTTCTCGGCACCAAACGAGCATTTTTAATAAGTTCCTCCATTTTAGCGGCATGCTATGCCAGCTTTGGGTAAGCAAGGCATATAAGTATTGTAATAAAATTCCATTTTATATGGCACAAGTTATTATTTACAGCCATGGCATTAGCTAATTCCTTCTGCTAACAATTATCAAAGTTATCCTTATGAAAGTAAGCTACTTAGTACGGTTGATGTCGCGAAAGGATCACCGGCACAAGTGCAAGTATTTTTATTTACTAGGCTTTTAGATCTAACCAGCGAGGAAAGTGTTTTTGCTGGACTAGCGTGTTTTATCCGTATAATCGAAGGGTTGTGCTACTCAGGTACGACCGTACGAGTAGTCTTCCATACGTCGAATTTGCAGTTACCTAATAAATTTAACAGTTACATACTTATTGCTTTAAAAACTCGATTTGAATGTGTATTTCAGGAATCATGAATGCAGTCTTCACAATTTTGTGCCTTACTGTACCGACAAGGGCGATATTGGGCATAGTAGGTATTAGACAATTATGGTAGATGTACATCAACCGGCAAAATATCCCTACTTAATCCGTATCCCGTAGAGTATGTGGATATCATGTTCAGATGCTGTAATTTTTTTCTTTCAGAGTTTGATTGATGGATTGACATGTGTCGGGTATTCTTTGGGACCACTTTTTTCTGGAATACTTTTTGAAGTAACCATAAATTATGTATTACAGTAGCCCATTTGCGCAGTGTCTGCGCAGTGTTTGCGCAGTGTCCATCAGTACCCGTATAGAATATTTATATACACATACAGTAGTAGGTTAATATAATATCCGTACATCATTAACATCATTAAATCTAATTAGCTTTTTAAGTGTCAGTTTCTTAATAATTCTGCAGATCTCTGGATTTATTCTGCCATACATAATCATCGCTGCACTAATGGCTGTTTGTTCGATAATGGGAACAATTTCCCTCCCGCCCGTTGCAGGTAAGTGAATGCCACGGGAAAATAATTCAGTTTTACCGATTCTGCTTGCCCCTTCTTTAAATACTGCTTGCAATATACACGACGTAGATAGCAAAAATCGTATTTTTTGTCATCGCACTAACGATTACGAGCAACTTAAAAACCATGCACAGTTTTGCAGAAGAAAAGATTTAGCATTTTAGGAAATCTTGCCGCTGGAATGTCAGGGCCTCTGAAGGTCGTATCCAGAGATGCACAGTTTTATGGTTGTACGGTTGTTGCTTTTGCAATGGGAAATTTTGTGGGATTCATGGAGGCCACGTTAGAAGTTTATTTAGCTCAGGTGAAACTTTTTTATACGAGCATGAAGACTACGCATATGTTTTGCAGTAAATACAGTAAGTACCTTACAGGTGTAATTAATGTACAAGTAATTGCGTAGTATAAGGGAACTAATTACTAACGATAAATACCGATACATTTTGTCCGGTTGTTGTCACAAGCAGCGTTAAAGATTCTCAGAAGTCAGCGGCACAGTGAAACTGCGCTGCGGTGAACTGATCCGATAAACACGGTAATTTAGTAAAATTTCATTATTAATATTGTATGCTTGTTGGTGTATTGTAGTTCGACCGAGGCTCAACCGTGGAAGGAGCGGTATTTTTTGCAATGTGGTTTAGTGCCGCAGTAGTATCCCCGCTCTGGGGATACATTCTGCGAAAAGCCGGGAATAGCCACGTATTCCTTTTAGCTGGCCCGTTTATCGAAGCGACTGTTTTCATATTTTTCGGCCCTCTTCCGGGCCTCGATGCTGTCGGTCGGCATCTGGGTTTGTCCATAACGTGCTTGATTATTATGGCCGCCACCACATCGATGTCCCTTCTCGCCAGCATTAACATCATGATCGAAAGAGCTGAGTAAGACAAATCCGCTTTTACTAAGTTTCCATTGGCATTTCTCGTTGGTTGCAGAAACGATGGCATCGAAACGAGCATCCATACATACGCATTCATATCCGCCATTTGGTTGACGTCTCTCTACTTTGGGTAAATACAGACTATTAAACACTCTAATATCGATAATAATTTGATTGTTAGTTAGGGTCCTGCTTAAACGTAAGGCTGATTTCACTAATCAGTAACAATTTTTTCGGTATGCTGTTTATAGGGAAGCCATTGGAGCGATAATCAGCGGAAGTATACTGGATAAGTACGATTATGGATGCGTTGCGATTTCCGCCGTTGTAACAGAACTGCTGTTGGGAATCTTAGCTAGTGCATTAATATTACTTCCGTGGAAAAAAATTGAGTGCAGTGTCTGAAAAAGTTTTGCAATAACTACAACGCGACGGCAGTTTCATGAAACTTTCGAATAGTCGTATTAATGTGTTCATAGATCAACCACAAAAACAATAAAAGGGGACCAGCATAACGAACCCCGACAAAAGAGTTCCATTAAAGAAAAACCATCGATATAAAACATGGAAAACAGATGACTATACTATGTAGCTGCAACTAAAGTCATTGGCATTTCAAAACAACCATATGGATACCGGAAAATTTTTAAAACCATAAAGCAGAAATTGCAAGTGCGCACAGCATACATACAATCAAGTAAACACAACAAACACATTTACCGGTGCGACGAAATAAGTTTAGCCGGGGAAACATCCAGAACATTTGGTTGCGGGCTCCCGTGACCCGTGCTTCGGCTACCCGACGAAGAAGCTACACTTCGGGATTCCTGGTAAAAAAAAATCCACATCTGCTCAACTGTGCAACACTTAGAAAAACAATTCCGATACATGTATATACGCAATTAAAATTTTCTCACCCACAGAAAGGCTGAACCAAATTTTTATCAATTAAAAATCCCCTGCAGTTATTGCCTCACCTAGTCCGTCGCAGGAAATTTATCCCAGTTACTACATTTCGCTGACCGGTCGACAATCTTAGTGGACAACCTAACAACGGCGGTCAACCGGTTCGGTGTGACACCGACTGTCCGTTTCGGCAGTGTCAGATCCAGAGGGTCTCCGGTATCATGGCTTTCGCCCTTCACATTCTTGAAAATGGGTATCTCGTCTCGTCCCGCACTGGATATTAACCGAGGCGGCGGCGGCAACACGGGAGTTGGTCGGGACGAGGGTGCCGACTCTGAGACACTGGCATCGGTATCGGAATCCCCTTCCTCCGATACATCGGAATAGGAGCCGAAATAATTGTGATCCAGCTTGGTAGGAGATTCCATCAGGCCGCCCATTCGTCGCGGAGGACTGGGCAAGGGACCAGGCATATCACAGACGCTGCCGATTTCCTCCGGCTCCTAATAAACACAAATCGTTTGTTAATTTGGGTGCGAATCGCTCAACGAATAACTCACTGCCGTCGAATCTACCGATTGTCAAAAACATACCGTTAAACCCCGCATTCTTCCAGTTACTTTCATCTTTTTCTTCCCGAAATGAGTATCCAATTCCGTCCTGGAGGAATCAGAGGAATCCAACTGTGTGCGCTTAATACAAGTCTTCGCGCCATCAGAATTCTCCAGAACTGTCCCAGAATTTTTACGAGGCGTCCTAGCTTGCATTCGCTTCTTCCTAAAAAATACGCCACATTATTAAAAAAAACCCACAACCCGCAACTAGTGAGAGCGCAAAAATTCCTGCTGAAGTTAAAAAATGTATCGGTGAAAAAAAAATTAAAATCACCTATAATTCAAAATGATCTTCCAAATCCATAAGAAGAAGAACCGGAAAGTTAAGAACCGGAAGTTTAAGAATCGGAAATGTTAAAAAACATAACCAAGGACTTTTACAAAAACAAGCAGAGCTAAAAGTAACCTAAGAAAAGAAAATTTTTTAAAGTTCGTCGGCTCACTTGAAGTCAGCGAACATTTGAGCACATGGTCCACTGGTTGGTGGTCCCTTAAAATTCGGTCGGTCGTCTTCCGGGTGCCGTCCACGTTCTGTTCCGTCCTCCCAGGCGGAAAGGCGATCCGGTTGATATTTTCTCACGAAAATCGTCATGTCGATTTTTACATTGTCTTCCTGGCAAGAACAAATGGACGCATATTTCCCATATTCAATCCATCGTTCGGTAGCAAAGTTTGTAGATTCCGCCACATTCAGTCCACAATTAAAACCGGCATGATAACCGAAAGGAAACGTAATAATAATCTCTCCTTCATGTTGCATAATCTGTGAATCAAGGAAGAGGCGTCATAAAACAATCCGAAACAAATAATAACATTGTCCAGGCTGGCATTTACAAAGAATTCGAAACAAAATCGCGCTTAAATGTCGTTCCGGGAAAATCTGAACCATAATCAAACAGTATAAAACTGATTTACCTTATTAAAAGGCACACCGCTGGATTTTAGAATCGTATGGGAGATCATAGAGGATTTGTGACGCAAAAACGCGTGACACTTCTTGTGTTGGTCCGGAAACAACGCTGCAAATTAAGTTGTATTGCAACGCCACTTTTATCCAAAAATTGCAAGCCTGCAATACCTCACCTGCGGCCAATCTTTCAAAACGCCGACCGTTCTGAGGGCTAATACTGTACCAAAACTTTGCTGCTCCATCATGAATGTAATTAATCGAATAGAGGTCCAAATCCTCCGTGTGCCAACCGAAGAAGGCTCGCCACATCCCATAATAAAGGTACGGCGTATTTACGCCTTGAATCGCGATCCCGTACTCTTCGTTAATGGTGTCTAATATCGATGGCAAACGACTGATGTTCCATTGCTACAGCACAACACATGTCATGCATTTGCAGTTTCCAGACGAAAAAAGATTTCCCGATGTTCACAAACTTTTTTTGTTGCAATTTTTAAGTAATGCCAAAACTTACATCGACGTCCTCATCAAACAGAGATCCAGACGTATCAGCGCCATAAACAGGGGGATTTATGGTAAGCTGTTTCCAGAAATTCCGTTCGATGTCGTCCATCTCTGCAAATCAAACTCTCCATTTCCGAACGGAATTGTCAGTTTCAACACCATAAAGTAATAGTTATTCATCGAGCAGCCAATAACATAATTCTACTGAAGGATTCGATATTACGAGACCAAGCAAGCGTCAAGATTCGAAACACTGAATTCGTAAACTTCCTGTGTTCAGTGCTAGATCTTGGCTTTTCCATCAACCATAAGCCTTACCTTCGGCAAAGGCATACACCAGATTCTTCTCTAACGCGTGTTTCCGCAGCTCGCCCACCGTCATTGACGGGCGCTCGGTGTTTCTGACTTCGTACGCTCCGCGAGTCGACGTTTGTTTCACACACTGACGAATTGGTCCGTAGATCAGCTTGCTGTCCAGATCGCCATACCCACCTTTGCGAGGTTTCCATTCCTTTGGCGGAATGATCTGAGGAAATGCCAGATGGAAAAACGTGTTCGATACAAATGGCATCAAACATGTGCAAAAATCTATGTCCGTGGCTCGAAGCCATTCCAAATTACTTTCACCAAACCGTAAAACAGCGGATTGTGCAGTCTGGCTTCGAAGTTCAACATGCGAATCGTAGCTAATAATGTGCACGAACAGCTGTATACGTTAATGGCAGCCATGTGCCATAGTGCTCTTTCCTCTGTACTGGCCTGCACAATGCTACACTAACTTACAGGGTCCAGCTCGAATGCGCCATATAGAGGAACTGATATTTCAAATTAATTTAAATGTTTGATTTCCAGCAAAGCAAGCTACCTTAGCGATGCCTCCAAGATGGGCACCGCAGGACTCCATATAATGGACATATCCTAGAAAATCTTGAAATTCCTCCATCGTTGGCCGAAACGTCATAATACGGGGATGCTTGGGATCGTTAATCTCGTGTGTACCATGCATGTTTCCCCCAGGAGAAGCAGAATGATTGTTCAGATCGCCCATTCCTGTGTTACGTCTATTCAGGACCCACTAGTTAAAAAACATAGCTTAACCCATTACTAACTGCGTCATTATCCGGGTCACTCAATCAGGAAATCATAATAAGCGAAGTAAGTGATACGCATTCCTAAACATAAACACAAAAGTATGCTGTTGTTCTCGAAAGCAAGAAGACTGGTGATGACTGCTGATACACACAAATCCCGTACATCTGTTATCATTTAAAACGAACGACGAATTTTTAAGTTCATATTCCACGTCTGACTGCGTGTCAGGGCGGGTGGTTAGTGGCTAGTACTGGCTACTACTATTCAGGTAGTGCTTACAGAGACAAGGGCCAAGGCCCCACCAAGTTCGGACATTAAAAAAATTCCTCAGCTTCGACCACCGATGTCTAAATTTTTATTCAACTTTAGATTTAGATTGATAGTCCTTGGTCCTGTAGCACCATTCAAAACTGCGTATCGCAGCGAAAACCAAAAGGTCAAGAAGGAAGGGAGCACAACTCAAAAGTTTTATTTTTGTTTTTTTCCGCACAAATGCCCTTGTTACTGATGGTGAGAAGTGAGAAATAATCATGTTCGTTTAAGAATATTTTAAAAAATTGTTGGAGGTTGAGAAATACAAATGGATAACTTTATTTCCTAGTGCACCCTTCCTCAGATTCTTTTAAATATTCACATCTCACTTAAAGCATCTAGTGCGCTCAGCAGATTTGGTCGGTACGTTGTAACGTGCTAGTACAATCAAACACGATCACCTACCTACGTTACATGACTTACATCTAATTTCGAAGTCATCGCAGCCATTCGCAGGCCATGATCGTGCAAGGTTCGTGTGCTACCCCACATAGGATACCTTTGGGGCCACTCAACCGTTTAAAAAAAGGTCCGCACAAAAATACCCGTTAGTGAATGTTCCGAAAGGTCAATTGTAAGGGCTTTAAAAATCACTACTCCCCCATCCTTCTAATCACCGCTTGACCCCGTGTGCTGACTTGATAAAAGATCGCGATTTTCATGTTGCTGGATTTGCAATAAAGAGTTACACTAGGAAAGTGCAAAAATAAAAACAAAACGATGTGCAGAAATAATTCTAATGTATTTTATAAAACTGCCGAACTTGCCAGCGCACGGCTTTTTGTTTTCCCTGATAGTGGCATCTGTATATATGTAAGTAGGTAATCTGATATGTACTTTGCTTTTAAATCAGCTGAACGGAAGCGACGTTACATGGTTTTGTTGCTCATTAATTTTGAAGATGGCATGAGCAGATTCTCTAAAATTACCTTTTAACAAGCACAGTTAGGAAAATCCAGCGTTCGTGGATCAGTACTTACTTGATTACAAATTTAGCAGTTCTATAGCACTTCGAGGGCTAGAATTAAACTAATTTTTCTAATCTTGGCATTATATCATTATATTAATTATACGCATTTTTGATTATTGTTTGTTGTCCAAGTTCGCAGGTAACCCTTAAAGGCTAGAATCGTAATTTACGTAGGATAAAAAACCTGATAAAAATTTAAAAAAAACTTTCGGTGAAGAAATGTACATTAAAAGCCATAAAAAAGAAGGAATAGACTTCAGGCTAAGAAGTAATGATAACGGGTTTCAGTACATTACGAAAAACAGCAAGTGAACAGCAATTGACTAAGCACGCCAATTCCGCTCGCAATCAGATGAGATCAGCGAAAGACGGTGCACGCCACTTGTTTTGGCATTTTCCAAAACTTATAACATTGGAACAATCCCGAAAGCAGCTACACTCCACTTAAATGCATCAGGTTAATTTTCCGCGGATTTTATTAAATCCCAAAATCAGCACTGTTAACGCTAAACCGCCAAATACTTCACTTAAAAAAAACGCTGTTCATTCGCATCCGATGTGCACGTCCGCATGCGAAGTCAGATGTGCGTGCCTCAACTACCAAGTTCGTCAAACCAGCTAAAGTATCCAGGGCATCTCTTTAAATCCCGATTTTGTTTTAGGTATATCTTTTTGACCCCTTGATTTCCTGTAGGTATGGATTTTCTCCGTACGAGATTGATCAGATTCAATAATACAGTGTTTCAAAAGGTCACGGAAATCTGCACACGCGATAAGGCGGCACACCTGTCGTGTATAAGCGTTCACGCCGGTTAAGGCTCCATGAACAATCTTTACTCTTCCACGCCTGTAATTGTCAGTCGGTAGGCACTCGTACTCTCAAACTGTAACAGAAGAACTATGGTGGAAATAAGACGAACGATTCAGGAACACGGGAACTCAGGAATCCCTCAGGAACGAGCTAACCACAACTTCCGGTCGTAAGTCCTGTGAGGATCGGCAAGAGCTAGGACAATTGTGTCACGAGCAAACCTGTATACTAAGCGATAATCCGGGAACAACTATGCACTTCAGTAGGAACAAGTATTGCTGTCTCTTTATCCAATTCACATCACAGTTCACAACGCTAGGAAATTGTAATTAGAAGCAGTCTCAGAAGTAAATCTCAGACTACTGATTCCGATATTAGAAGTAACAAGAACTTATATAGACTTCGAGTTATGACATCATATACACCGCTAGTAAAAGAGAACAGCAAATCACAGAAGAGATTGACTAGATTATCGGTTATGTTGCAGGTGGAAGGCGGACAGTCAGCATCCGTACGTACATCCGGCGTGTGATCCTACTCCCACACGTCACCCCCACGAACGATGCTTGGCCGTGCCAACGTAAGCAATCCATCCCGCAACATCCCAGTGCGATTGTGCACTTCCATCCATCCTGATCCCGATCCACCGCACAATCCACGCGTCCATCCGATGCCCAATGTGACTGTACGCCGCGATTCCCAGGGAGTTAGTGTGTGGAATCCTTGGCGAAGAGGCATCCGGAAGTCCACGGGTTTGGCAGGGCGGAGGTCCAAGGATCCAGGAAGGCGAACTATGAATTACTAATACTGTGCCGTTTGAGTTTAGATAGTGTTTTGTATGTACAGTATACGGCATAAAGCTTTATTAATTGTGAAACTAAAATCTTAAAATGTGATTATGTGGAATTCTGTAGAACTATGCATTAAACGAACGGGACCGCGATAACCAACAACCAGTAGTATTCTTACGAATTCTCGAGTACTACATCATCCAGTAACAACGGTCAACAACAACAAACAAGCAAAAATATCCGCATAAAAATCATGAGCACAAATTACTGGTAGATGAGAGCAAATTTAAACCAGCAAAAGAATATCAGTAGCAATAAGATCAACACGGCTTTGGTAAAGCAAAATCATTAGACAACACCAGGCCAGTAAAAAGGCGAGATCAAAGAAAGCAAAAGATCAAGGACAAAGGTGAGTCAAGGTTACTTGCCAGCACTGGGAGCCAATGAAAACAAACCGGTGATACCAGAGCCAGACGCAGCAGCATCCAAACGGCGAGAAACGTCAGCAGCCATCTGTCGTCGGCGATCGGCATCCAATTCCCGCTGCTGTTGCTGAGCCAAATAACCAGGCACAAAATTATGTTCGGCAGAACCAACGGGACCGGAAGGCGCAGACGGCGCACGAGGACGATCAGCCGGGGAGCGGTCGCGGGCATCGCGGACAATCGGCACTTCAGCAAGTGGCAACACATTTGGTGGCAAACCCGGAAATTCAGCGTTAACCTGGGCGTGCACAGGCGGAATTGCAGCCGGGGGGACCACAACTTCTAAGGCTGGCGGGCCATGTAGATGGACAGCAGGGTTGACAGCATCGGGCTGACCTGGAACCACAGCTCCGCCGACTTGGCCCTGATTCGGTGCAATCGCCGCTTGGTTTCCCGGGTCATCAACCTCCATGTTTGCGGGGGCAGCTTCCACTGGTGCAGCTGCGTGAGGAGCTCCATCAGGTACTTCAATAATCTCCGGTGCGCCCAGATGTCGCCCATTACGACGCCAGTGATCGTTTCCGCGACGGAGATTATTGTCTCCAAAATTCCTATGATTTCCTCGGCCGTACGGACGAAAGTTGCCACGGAAAGCACCACGGGCTCCACCCCTTCCTCGGTGATTATAACCGGCATTATACTGCTGTTGCTGCTGGTTGGAAGACGAATGAAAAATAGCGTCTACCAATTTATCGAAAGCACGGTTAGGATCGATAGGCGGCATGCCCAGACTAAAGAAAACTAGTGACCTTAAACGCTAGAAGTGTAAAGAGGAAAAGCGTCAAAATGACAGTCTACACACAGTGAAAATCCAGCATGCCAGAAGGCCGAAACGAAAATCTACAATGCCGATTTCTGCACACTACACGCAGGCGATTTTATACCGATCTGTCGATGTAAAACTTAGAATGCGGCAGATTCCATACAGGTAGAAGAGCAACCAATCAGCGCTTCGCGCTATATCCTTTTAATTCAACGTAATCAAAGATCAGATCTATCCAGGTATAACAGAAGATTCAGCACCGATATCTACAGCGCAGATACAAATACTAACGACCAGTTCATTGACTCAGAGCGCATAAAATTAGAAAAATAAAATTTGATACAGTAAAACACAAGATTCCAGTCACACTCCATAATACAGAATACAATTGAGATACAGCGCTGAAAATCGTTGAGATAATACCAAACCGACCAAACCACAAGGAACAAAAATTTAGGATGACGGAGCACAGCTACGGACGATCGTATTACAATTCATCCGAGTGCGGCTGCTGCAGTAAATTATGGCTAGCAGGAGTAACAGGTTGAACAACTACCGGAGCAACATACGGTGGCTGTTCCTCAAATTCGGGCGAATCTTCCCGCGGAACAAACGCAATCGGGGCCACAACAACCGATGGTGGAAGAACGACAGCTGGCTGCAGTGATGGCAGCGGGTCAACATCCATTTTTTCCAGATCGGATCCATCATTGCCATCACAATCAACTTCCATATCAACGTTCTCATCAGCTTCGACATCGGTACTCTGATCAGGGGATAAAACGGCCGAAGGATCCTCACGATCTTCCCAATCATCCGAAACGGAAACTTCACTTGGCGCAGAAGACGAGGACGGCGAGACCTCCTTGTACTTGCGCTTTTCGCCACGAGTGCGAAAATAATACGGGCCGGCGGCTGAAGTTGAAGCCTGCGGTTCAGCATTTTCCAGGGCACGAGCATCAACAATCGCTCGCCGCGCAACCGCATCCGCCTTCTGACGCTTGGCGATTTCTTGAAACA